AATGATGCCTGAGGGCCCAATATTTGTGACAGAAGTGAGACGGCTCTGAGCGGAATTATTTTGTGGTTAAGAATAATTCTACTAAAGCAAACCCTCAGGAACATGCTTTCCTTTTGATTTGTCAAAGCATTAGTGCAGTTTCTAAATATTTTCCCTTAAATCATAACATTGAGCAAGAGCAGAACTATTTTAAAACCACTGAATAGATAGATGATAACATAAACCTGGAAGAGGTCCTGGCAGTCCACCACTCATTTCCAGCTTTTGTAGGACATAACTTAGGTTATCTTGGAAAGGATATTGTTTATTTTACTCATTTTATTCATTCAAACATTTCCAGAGAAAATTATTTCATTGCTCTTTAATTTACCACACAGTTTAGAATTCTTTGTGGCCTTGATTTGTATGTATTTTTTAACATAGCTTTATAAAGTCCATAGTTAATTAATATATTCAAGTTACCTCTTGTGTTTTTGCCTTTAATAATATATGTTTACTTGCTGCGTAAGAAAACTAAAATGACATAAGATAATAAGAAATGCCAAAAGAAAAAAAAAAAGTATTTAAGGGCTTGAGGTCTAATGTCATATATCTATATCATAAAGGACAACAATTGTTTATTGCATTGATGAAAGCTGGACTTTGTCAAGTGTTGTTAAGGCAATTCTCAATAAAGAAAGTTATTTTTACCATATCTGACAGACATTTGCTTATTAAAGGAAAACAGAGTTCCCCAAATTTAACATTTTTTATCAGTGTGTCAAGATACATAACTATAACATTTACTTTTGACCCAATTCCCATTCAATTTTTTCTTGATACTTGCCCCCTAATTACCTACCCCTGCTCCGTAATAATTTTAATATTTGCCTTTGGTTTTCTGCTTAAAAGGAATTTAACTCTTTTTTCTTGAGTGTTTTATATATGCTGTCACTTTAATTCTCAACAACCCAAAATTTTCCATCTAGCAAAGTTAGGGTTCAAAACAAACCTTCCTTTTTATTGTAGAATATTACTTTTTACATATTTTCCCTTTTAAAAACACTTTTATTTTTCACTGTTTCTCCTTCTAGCTTTGTCTCTCTTTAACTTTCAAATTCTAAATGTGACCCATTTGTTGTGTGCCTTTTAGTTCCTTGATGCCTACTCATTCCTGAGGTCTTCCCTACACCTCTCTCTTTAAAATGCCTTCTCCAAAGTTTCCAAAGACTAATTGCCCAAGTCCTGGCTTTTTTGTTTTCCTTCATGTTTCCACGTTACTTGATGTTAGGGTTAGCAGAGGAGGTAACAGAAAAGGGATGTCCTCAGTGAGTGGCATGTTGGTAGATGTTTAACAACCTACTTTTCAATTGTAGCTGTTGCCAATTTCCAAAGTGTAAATACTCTAACATGGATGATTTTACTCTCCAATATGTCACTGAACAGGGAGCTGGGAGGCTATGTGAACAGTGGGCTCTGGGGAGCTGGTGGGACCTGGCTTCAGCAAACCACTGCCAATCTTTTTTTGGAATGTTATTAGGCCTTGGCTTTTGCAATATGTAGCACCTTGTTTCATTTTCCATCGTTCTGGTTCCAGTTTCTCTCCATTTTTTGTTGTTTTTATTTCATACTGTGCCCCTAATTATAGACTTAATTGAGGGTTAAATTTTTCATCCTTTTATCCTCTTCCTTAGCATTCTCCTCTACTCATGCCTTTTATCATTACTTTATCATGAGTGATGCTATACCCTCCACTGCTCTCTGGAGGTCATCTCCACATTCAGTTTCTTATCAGATAGCCCCTCCTTTACTTCTTATCTTGACCTCACCCCAAAAGTACTCACATTCCTACTATATGCCAGACGCTTCATGAAGTGTCTTGGAAACAGGACTTGGAAGTTAGTACCCATATTTTATGGATTAAAATAACCAGATAATTTGTTCAATTTACTCACATTGACCCATTCAATAGGCAATGGAATGCAGATGTGAAGCCAGGTTTTGGTAGTATGACACCAACACCCATTTCTCTTTGTTTTATATCATAGAGGTCCTCAGTTAATGGAACTATCATTTCTATCTCACACTGAATTAAAATATGCAAGTAATCTTTGCATTTTCTTAGTTGTTATTATTTACCAAGTCCTGTTTTTTATACATTGGGCACTTGTTCAAGTACCCATCTCCCGTCTATGTTATAAACTTCTAAAAACAAGAGCCATACTACAGTAATAATTTTATCCCTTCATGTAACAAAATCACTTATATTGGTAGGTATTCAATAATTCTTAGTTTAAAAAGTGAAATAATTATATAATGAACGACAACGTATTTTGAATATTTCCATTATATCTGTGCTACAATAGTGCTTTTCTTCATCTGTGTTGCAAGCAACCAATGATATTATATATAGAAAATCAAATTGAGCACTGAAGAAATATTCAAGTCTAGTTTTCTGCAAAGAGGGAACAAATAGGATGCAAAATATGCTCATATTTTAGTACAGATCATGAAATTTACCATTTTCCTAGTGTTTTCAGCCCATTGCAATTGTATCCATTTCTAGGCCGCTTATGGCTTAGACTCTAGGGAATTTCCAATGAGTTTAGGGCAATATCCCTCCTTGCATTTCAGAGTCATTGAAGGGACCTCTGAAAAGTCTTTTTACACTTTCAGAAGTCTTAATTAGGGTCAGGATGAAGTAATCTATCCAAATTTTTCTAAATTGTAAGAGCTGGCCACACTGTCCTGCTATGAGTACAAATTGAATAATGAGTGAGGTTATCTTGCCCTCTGCCTGAGTAGATAGATGTCTCACTGGACTTCTGAATTAGCAGTTTCCAACTCCTGCATCACCTTGGTGTATTTCCTGTTCCCCGCAGCACTAGGGCTGCTTCCTGGTTAAGAATCCCTCAGGCTTGTCTATACAGAGCAATCCACATGCAGCAGCAAGACATGGGATGCAGCGCTTTCTCCCTGAGAAGTCAGTGGGGCCGTTTTGACTGTGAAGGTATTTTGAATCTGTAGAATAGTGAACAACCAGAAAATTACCTATTTGTGATTTCTTTTTAATTTTTAAAGATATTTATTGTTGAAAGTATTACATAGGTTCTCCTTTTCCTCTCATTAACCTCTTCCAGCCCGCTCCTGTCCTCCCCTTCTCCCCCCAGACCCTCATCACCCTATTGTCTGTGTCCACAGTTCTTAAGAGACATCAGTTTTCTGTGATACTCTGCTATCACCTTGGTACTGAAATGCTCTCAGTTGTTGTTTATTGTTAAATGTCCTCAAATACATCTTTTGTCAGACTCTGTCACTAGGGGACTTAGGTTAAAGTCTTAGATGCTTTTACATGTAAACACCATTATTTTAAACAATACATGACAAATTGAAAAATAATGTACCTGTTAGTTGAGCATCAGGGAAAATTAAGTGAATGCAACATAGAATACAGGTGTCAAAGCTTTTACAGAGGGTTACCAACTACAGAGTAACCTGCTGTCTTAGTGCTTCTTTGCATCTGAGCTGTAACAGACAAGACTGAGTCTAGCAAAAAGGCTCTATTAATGTGCCTCAACTTATCGTCCACTGCTGAGCTATTAGTGGTGGCCTGTACTTTTAGGAGGTTTGATTTCAGTGAGTGCTTAGAAAAATAGACAAGAGAACACCTCATTCACATTCTTTCAGAGTGGTAGGTTGGTTTGGGTAAAACTTATACAAAAATTTGGGAAGATTTCTGTTGCTGCATCATGACCATCTTGATATGATATAATTTTGATAATTGTCTTCCCTTCTCTACTTTGCAGAATCAAACTTTGTAAAGATATGGATGTTCATGACACCCAAGCAATGCCAGTGTGGACAAATAACTTCAAATGATCTTTTGAGCCTGATGAATGGCCTCTTGTATAGATTGATTTGAAACATAATGATACTCCTTATATAGGTCTTTCATTCTTTTAACTTACATAGTAGCATATATGGGGATATCAGAGGAGGGTGAACAATTATATCCCAAGGCCCTACTTCATTTGCTATTACTGTCAATGGGGGCCCTATTTTAAGAAGGCAACTCTGCATAATATTTAGCTCAGTCTGTGTTCCTGCATTTTGCAAGTGATAACATTACAAATGAATTAGTTTAGTGAGCCCAAATAAGTAGCAAGTAATAAAGTTTATTTTTCAAATATTCCAATTATAACTGCATGGTTCATTTTGTTGTTTTCCTAGAGAAAATTTATTTTAAGGTGTCTCTGTGTGTGTGAGTATTATACAATTTGTCTTATTTGGTCAGCCTTTGTCTCTATTCTCTCTCAGCCTGGTTGCCCTGGTTACCATTACATATTCTCCTGTGCATGAAGATCCTCTTTGACGTGCATTTATTTCTATGGAAACAATGATGTCATTGGTATGGGTGGGTAATGAGGGAAAGCATAATGAAGTGTTGAATATTGATCTTTCTTTTGGTCATAAAATGTATTATTAAATTACATTTTTAATTAGATAATTAGATTTTTGCTTTCCCTTTGACGTGGTCATGAAGCTACATTTTCCCTTGTTTATAGACTTGCTTGAATAAAATGACTTTAAGCATTGAACTACTGCACATCTCCTTCTTATGATATGTGGTCATAAACTCAACACAGGTACATATAACAGTAAAAGAATTATTATTTTAAGCTTAAAAGTGTCTCAGAGCGTGAAAAGATTATCTCAATAACATGTTATCATCACAATATTACACAAATAATTTTATATTCACATCAAGGCAAGGCGCAATGTATAGATGGTGGATCAAGAGGAAATAAGACCCTGCTTGTAGTCCTTGGTTTAGAGACGCAAGGCTATCATAGGAAACTGATAGTTATTAAAACATGTTTTCTATGACATTAAGTAAGTCCATGTATAATTACTATTTCATTTTCTTTTAAGTCCCAGGAGGCTTTTAAACCCTTTTTAGGCATCTGTTTCACACCCTGTTTTCCTTACACTCTACTCCAGTCTATTTTTTTTCTTTATAGATGATGTGGAAACCTGCTTATGATTTTCTCTATACTTGGGGTGCTCACTATGGAAATAGCTACAGAGATGTGTTACAAGACCTGCAATCTGCTTTGGACAGAATGAAAAACCCTGTGACCAAACAATGGCGAGACTTAACCGGAGCTTTACTACTAGTACATTCTTTAGAGGTTTTGAGAGCAACTTCATTCTCCACTTCCGAAGAAGTATAGAAATGAAGGGTATGTCCTGTGGAGGAGGGAGAATAACAGGGGAAAATGTGTGTGTGTGTGTGTGTGTGTGTGTGTGTGTGTGTGTGTGTGTGAAAGAGAAAGTCCTCAGAAAAATAGTGCTTCTATTTTTCCCGTTTGAAAATATATTTCCCATGTGAAAGCACAGCAGAACACAAAATCTAAAATGGGTTTTTATAACCAGACATGAATTTTTGTATCTATTTCAGATGCAAACATTGGGCTGCTTTGTTGTTGAGAAAGGAAAGAAAAACCCTCTCTCCCTTTCAAAGTTACTTTTAATTTCTTGAAGTTAAAACAAATGACTATTAGCATAATCACATTACCCAATACCCAGATAAACTAGAAGCCCTCAATGTGAACCATGCCATTTTACCAGAAGGCAGACAGGAAGAGAGCAGAAGCAAACACACACTTTGTGCAGAGGGCTGCAGGCTTCCTATATCTGATCTCTTATTTCTCAGTGGAGTTTGCCAGCATTATTCCCATTTTCCATATGAAGAAACTAAGAACTGGATAGGATGCTCAGGGTTAAAAGCTAGTGTGAAGTAGGTTTTCTCTTTGAAAAACCTGGTTTTGTTTTTTTAAAATCTAGAATATAATAGTAAATGCATATTAAAACTTTCAGGGAAATGGTAGCCATTTCATTCTAATTGAAGCTCATTGCTCTTGTTTACCATCTCTTGACAGACTGCCAAAGGGGATGTGTGAGTTATCAGAAATCTGTTGCCTGCAAACATGGACACGAGTTTCCACCACCTTCCTCCAGCATCTTGGGACCAGCTAATCCTTGACCTTTATTCAGGATCCTAATGTAGAATAGTTCATTAAGTCTCAGGGATTTTTAATAACAGGGGTTATTTTTAAAAATAAAACCTTCCTTTATCACTGTTGAATGTAATAGTCTTAACCACCCAAAACACTGATACCTGTGTGTGTGCATGCTCACATGCTCATGCAGACACATGTGTGTGTTTGTGTACCAGAGTGTTTTATAAAGATTATATAGGAAACTGGGCCAGTATAAAGGCGAACTACTGGCAGAGAGTTCAGAAAGAAATGGTCTGTGCTTACTCATGGGTTCAACTCTCTGGTCACCTGCCAGTATTTATATATTTTGGATGCTCATTCATTTATTGTCATTCAGTTGGCAGATGGAGTGAGTGTTCCTTTTTTGTGGTAGGCACATGCATTCTTGAGGTTAATAATGGGAAAATAAAACCAGCATGACCTCTGACATCAGGATTGCCAAGTGATGGATACAGATAATAATAAAAAATAATTATGCAGTTAAATGTAAATGGCATCTGGAATAATAGCTGCAATGGAGAGTCTAGGATGCCAGAAGATATACTAGTAGATAGGAGGCCATCATCTGAATCAGGGGGGTCAAGTGAGTTTTCGCTGGGAAAGGCATGATGAGCCCGAAGGAGGAGGAGGCCTTGCTTCCAGTCTGGGATGGTGGAAGAGGGAGTCCCTCAGACCACTGAAGCCCTCTGGAGGGAGGGAGTGCAGGCGAGGCAGGCAATGCCTGAAAGGGTGAAGGAGTGAAGGAAAGAAAGACACACCTTCAGAGGTAATGTGGACAAGCTGAATAAGGATTTTGTTTGAGATCCTGAATAAAACATGTCCATTTGGCTGAAAAGTGAAAGCAGAATCTTTTCAGAGCTTTTAATACATCCACCCTGGGGCATTTGGTATGCTGGCAAAGGTAACTTGAATTAGGGTTTCAGAACAATCTCTACGGCTTTCTATATTTATATTTGATGATAACAGTACAAAGCCTGACCAAGGAGTTACATACACACATTCAAGGATGGAATTTATTTTAGTTGAAACTAAATTCTGGGAGAGGGAAAAAACGACTTGGAAGTTCAGGACACAATCATTGAGTGGTAATTTTGCTTTCTTTAGAACATTCTTGGAATCTTATTAACATGTCAGCAAATCAGAGAATTTCGGGAAGGAATTAATAACTGGGTTTCTCCAGGCTCCAGGGTCTGAGAAGACAGAGATTTTGTTAGCTGGTTGGGGAAGTAAGATGAAATAAGTCACTTCAGGTTTACATAGCATCATGTGTTGTGATTGTGTCTGGGAAGTTTAAGAAGAGTTTAAAAAATGAAAAACACAATCTTTGTAACTTAAGGATGAAGTGATGGTTTCAATATTAATAGACACAAAGATATTTTATAATCTTGTAATAAATTCTCTCAAATTTTAAACCATGTCCAAACTTTCTGTTCTTATAAATATATTCTAATATTTTATAAATCATTTCTAGTTTTCTTTCCATAATGGATTTCCATTATCAGAAAAGATTAGCTCAGTAATCATGAATTGCCTTTAATATTTGGCAGCAAATCAAGGGAATTAATAAAGCACTTAAATCCCATCCTTGATAACATTAAAAGCATCAAAAACGATTATTCTAAAATTTCTTCAACAATTTTGGAAGCATAGATAGTTCTTTTGTTTCCTCAGGCTTTTCCTCTAATGATGCCTCAGGATGAGATTTTAGTTCAGTGCTCAGCTTGCAACATAACAAATTTTCTGTGTACGCCGCAATCCTCTACTTCCATCTGTTAAAGCCCTAATATGAAGGCCAATTAAGGAGGTGCCTGCCACAGTGGCTCATTAACTGCTCATATCGATAACGGATACAACACATTTTTGTAGAAAATACCATATGAAGTTTTGAACTAGGGGATGACTAGTTTCCTGGAAGGAGCAGAATGAACTACATTAATGGGTGGTGTTGATCTAAAAAAAGTTGCCGCTAGTAAACAGCTTTGACTATGTGATATGAAAATGCAATAGAGAAAGTACACTCAAAATCGTATAATACTGTAATTGGAAAATTCAAAACTTGAATTTTTATTCTGTGCTCATGTAAATTATATTTTCTGTAATTTTTGTAATGCCTAAGGAATATTTGAAGCAATTCGAAGGACAAGGAGAATAATGAAAAATTATGTTGCTGGAGGCTTTTCTAATGAAAATTGATCTTGTTTCTTCTTATACATAGAAATTCTTCCCTGCTGTCCCATATGGAGTGTTTTCTCATGTGCTGCTGTAGAGCTTAGCGAGTGAAGTTCCAAGATCATATGTTGGCATTACACCAGGTGGGCTTACTCCAAAGACATTCATCAGAATAAAATAACCACCTGGAGAGTTTGTTGGCACTGACTGCTGGGCCCCACCCTCAGAATTCTGATGGGGCAGGTCCAGGTGCCCGAGGATGGTGATGCAGATGCCTCTGGTCCAGGGACCCCAGTCAAGAACCACTGCATTAATTTCCTCCATTTCTATAGGAAGAAGAGAATCTTTATTAAACTTGAAAAACATGCTTTTAGATAAACAAATTTTTGTCATCCCACCAGAGAAATAGTTTTTAAGCTGTAAAAATACACACCTAAATCCCATTATATAATAGCTTAATTTATTTATATAAGCTGAACTTTTTATAAATGAATTATTAAGAGCCTGAAAATATTCATTTTGATTGTAAAACTAATTAAAATAATTAAGATCTGCCTATTTGAAATGCAAAGATATTAGAATAAAATAGATTAAGAATTTGAGACATTTATCAGTGTATTAAGATGATTTTGCAAATATATTCAATGATTTTGTTTCTATAAAATATTTTTGGAGAAAGTCTTCTTTTCAGTGGTTTGTCATTTGTTAAATTTCATGTTGAATTAATTTTCCCTCATTGAAAAATATATTTAACTAATGTGATCAGATTAATTATGCCTTACTTTCATTGTAGAATTACAAAGGATTACAGGCACTTGCTAAAAAGACAGTCAGATATTCTCTCTCCAATGAATAGTTCTACTTTTAAAAGGATAGTGACTCTGAGGAGGGGTGATGAGCTGAATAACCTCACTTTGACCTTAATGTATTATATCTCATTTTCCTTCTATAGTTCTCTTTTTGGTTATTCTTCTGGGGGTGAGTAGGAGGATCTATGGCTTCTTCCTTTCTGTTCTGAGACATTTGAGACTACAAGGAAGCAGATTTTAATTGTTTCTAATATTTAAGTTCAGACTTGTACCTTTGGAATGTACTGAGACATTTAATATATTCATATAAATATATGACTAGTAGTTGAAAATCAAAATTTAGTCACGATGAAGTTACTAGTTTTACTTATACTGATTCTACCAAATTCAGTGTTATAAGGAGTATCTGAGATTGGCAAGTTCCATGTAATGTTGACTATGCATGTTAAGTTTAATGATATGCAATTAGTTACTACACTTTGTCATAGTCAGAAAATCCATTCTGTTGGATTTTACTCCCAGAAAATACGATTCAGTGCTCACCCAGGCCTCTTACTTCATGGTGGAATGTGAGGAAAGTGTGAGGGGAGAGATAGCAGAGAACTTGATTGTGGTCTAATGGTCTAATGAAAGAAAACTATCCAGAGACGATGGGAACATTGTCTTCCTCTCTTTGTGCTGATCTTCTTAAAAATGGAATATATATTTTATTCTTTCTCCTTAACTAATCAATAATAAGATACAAAATAACTGTTGCTTTGTTTTCTCCAGGATTGATTTAATGCAACTTAAGGCTGCTCTTTAAAACTACGAAGAAACTTCAGTTAGAGCAACCTCAGCAACCCTGTGCTGAGACTCACTGAGCAGTCCTCCGGAGCTGGTGTCAGAGAACCCATTTCAAATCAGCTTAAGCACAAAGAATGTATTGTCCCTCCCAACTGAAAACTCCAGGGGTAGTTTCAGGAATTCCAGGACTTGTAGGTGTAATCAAATTGCTTGTCTGGGTTTCCCCCTCCCCCCTTCTCTGCCTTTAATTACATGTTTCACCCTCAGGCCCGGAAAAGCAGCGCAGCAGTTCTGTGCTCTCTTTATGGGGCAGGAGCAGCGGCAGCTCAGCTTCACCTCTCCCGCTGTTCCAGGCTCAGGTGTCAGGGCTTTGTAATGTGTCACCTTGGCCAGACTAAACGATGTTTCCCAGAGTTCTGTTCTCTCCACTGCATATTCTGGTTAGAGTTTGCCTCAAGAGAAATCCTTGGAAGATCTGGATGGTCACAGTGGAACAGTAGCCATTGTGACTCCTGGAAGGTAGAGGTGGGTCAGCTTGTCAGTGGGGGAGGCAGCTGCCTGCCTGCAGGCCCAGTTTCCCTAGGTTCTCCGCCTTTCCCTTTCCCAAATCCTGGCCATGTGTGGGTGTGAGTCTGCAGCAGAGCACCACTTCTGTGGGTTATCCACAGCAGCTGGGTTGCAGGCTTGGAGCCTGGGAGGGACCAACATGAGTGTCAGTGGCTGACAAATGCAGATTCTAGTTGTCCCTGCTCTTCCCAAGCCCACGCCCATTTTTCCTTCACTCAAGCAGACCTATAACTTCCGGCTCAGTGCCAGAAACAAAAGAAAAAACCAGGTAATGTGTCTGGTCAAATCATTGTGATAAATCCTATTGTACATCATTGCCAGAGACTCAGCTTTTCCGAATGAACCCTGATTGATAGGTAGGGCAAGAGACTATTTCCTTATAACTCAAAAAAAAAAAGAGTCCCTATGATTGGACCATTTAGGCTTTGTGTTCATCCCTCAGCCAATCACTGAGGGCTGTAATCAGTGGCCCTCTGATTGGTCAGATCTGGGTCACATGCTCTTTCCTTCTGACCCTGTCCAGACCACCAGGTCTAATCAAGATCTGTTCCTGGAAATGGGAAGAGATGGATACTGGGGAGACCAACAGCAATTTTCCACTAAAAATGTGAGTGAGTTTAAACTCAACAGTATTTTCTGTGTTAGGAAACCTTTATGCTTCACGTGTAATTCAAGAAACTAGTCATATGAGTCCTTATGAGAGTGGGCAATGGGCCAGCTTCTACACTTCTGCAATAAATCAAACACTAACTAAA